CCTCAGTTCACTTTCTCAGAAGGAAGGAAATTAAATCTGGCATTTTAAGAAAGCATTTTTTTTTTTTTATCTGTCTCAGGGTGGGCTGGGTGCAAGTAGGGAGTAAACACTTGGAAGGAAAAATTCTGAATTTGCACAGTTGGAAATGAAAGATGGAAAGCCTTTCCACACCTAGATGCTGGCCAATTCAGTCATTTCAGCAGCACAGATACAGTGGGACATCGGGCCACACGAAGCCTTGACTAAGAAAGCCCTCCGAGGCCCCCCCACTTTTCCCAGAAACACGGGGAGCCACGCTGGAGCCGTGGTGCTGGAGCGGAGGTGGTTCATGTTTCCCTGGGGTAGCCTGAATTCCCAGCCTAGTGACGTTGGCCAGGCCTGGCGTTATACTCAGCCTCCCTTCGCGCTCTCTGTCCCCCGCAGGCATCTTTCTTTGTGGTGTACAACATGGTGACCACAGAGGTGATCGCGGTGTTCGAGAACACGTCCGACGAGCTCCTGGAGCTCTTCGAGAACTTCTGTGACCTCTTCCGGAACGCCACCCTGCACAGCGAAGTCCAGTTTCCCTGCTCAGCTTCCAGCAACAACTTTGCAAGGCAGATCCAGCGCCGGTAAGCTGTTCCACCGGGCTTACCAGGCCTCATTTTTCTTAAATTTTCTTCATTTGTTGCTGTGACATCAGTAGTCATTTACTTCAGAAAACCATGCGACAATCTTGTCCTCCATTCCATATATCCATGTCATCTCCCCTACAGAATTCTCTCCTAATGTAACCTTTTGTGTATCATCTTATCATACTTTGCTGCATCAAAATATAATGTACATATAAATTAAAATTATTTTTTTTTCTAGGGAACACATTGGTCTAAATAAGCCGTGGGCAAACTACGGCCCGCGGGCCAGATCCGGCCTGTTTGAAATGAATAAAACTAAAAAAAAAAAAAAGACCGTCCCCTTTTATGTAATGATGTTTACTTTGAATTTATATTAGTTCACACAAACACTCCCTCCATGCTTTTGTTCCGGCCCTCCGGTCCAGTTTAAGAACCCATTGTGGCCCTCGAGTCAAAAAGTTTGCCCACCCCTGGTCTAAATGCTCAATTTTATAGTCTTCAAAAATCTTTTGGTGGCGGTAAATGAAAATGGATCCATTATCGGTTAGAAGAAATGTTTCAGAGAAAATAAGTTATCAAGGATCATGAGTCATTTAAGAAAATCTTTGTCTTGAAAGGTATAGAGATCAAACTAAAACAAACGGAATAAAGAAACAACATGTGGTGGTGACTGAAATAATTCAAACCATAAGAACAGCAACATTCCTAGAACAGTGACGCTTTAGAAATTTAAAATTTCTTAGATATAGTTGAAGAACTCTCCAAGAAAGTAATGTAAAAAGATAAGAGAATAAAAATGGGAGAGAAAAGATGGAAAAGAAGCTAGAGGATTTGCCCAGGCGACCCACTATCTGGCTAATTCCGGAAGGATTAATCAAGAAAGTGAAGGGCATGTCATCATGAAACTTCGAAGCACTGGGGATAAAGAGAAAATTGTAAAAATTTTCAGAAAAAAACATCTCACATATAAAAAAATAAGTCATCAGAATGGCATTGGACAGACCAGTCACAACATTGAAAGCTTGAAGCCATTAAAATCCTGCCCTCAGACTTCTCCAAAAAAATGACTCCTAATTTAGAATTCTAATAATCAATGGAGCAAAGACATTTTCAGACATGCTGTCTCAAATAATTACCTCCCATGCCCCTTTTCTAAGGAAGCATCTAGAAGATGCATTTTACCAAGAAACACAAAAGAATGGTGCTGTTTGACAGTGGAGAGCAGCAGAGAGAATTCCAAGGATGACGGGAAAGGGAAGTTCCAGGGTCACAGGCCAGCAGCCAGATACCGACCACACGCACCGGGCAGTTATATGCATTTTAAACTTGTTTGTAGAGTTTTTTTTTTAATAATTAACTTTTCTAAAGTAATGTTCCCCATTTCTAATTCCGTTCTCTGCTAGCCAGGCTTGTGCTATGTGCGAGTTCTGACTGCGGTCAATATCCGGACTTTCATTGACAGAATGAATTGTTTTTAGACATCCGTTGGTCATTTAAAAAAAAAAAAGTGTGTCCGCAAACACAGCCTTCATCACGGGTGCTTTCTTTCAGGTTTAAAGACACTATTGTGAACGCCAAGTATGGGGGGCACACGGAGGCCGTGCGCCGGCTGCTGGGCCAGCTCCCCATCAGCGCCCAGTCCTACAGCGGCAGCCCCTACCTCGACCTGTCGCTCTTCAGCTACGATGACAAGTGGGTGTCCGTCATGGAGCGGCCCAAGACGTGTGGCGACCATCCTATCAGGTACAGCGTCTGCAGTTACCCGCTCGTGGTCCAGGGCCCGTCCTGCCCGCTTTCTCTCTCTCTCTCTTCTTGGGCATCGTTTCATGTGATTGTGTCCTCCTACTCGTGGGTTGAAGTGGAAGGGGGCTGTTTCTGTGATGTGGTGGGTGCTCTGGTCACATAGGCCGTAGTCTCATAATGAACAGCTTCTACTCTGCTTCTCACCAAAGCACCCACTCAGGTACGTGTTTCCCTTCAAAGGTATCCAGGGCAGGAAACCATACTTTCCATTCAGTAATCTAATGCCATTTCATAATGATGTTTATGGCTCAGCCTTTGGAGTTTTATCCAGCTCAAGTGATAGCATCCCCCCTGTTACCTACTGGAAATGATAGCAGGGACAGTATGGGGAACAGGAGGTTTTAGAGAAACTCAGCTTCCTCATTTTGGGAGTTTGGGGATGTAGATTGGAAATGTACTTGTAAAAATATTTCAGTATTATTGCTGGAAGGGTGTAGCTCGCCTCTGACAGCCAGTCCCTCCCTCATAGACGCCCGGTTCACAGACCCACCTGTCTCCACGTCGGGAGCGAGTGTTGCTCTGTGGGCTGTAAGGGTGCTGGGGGCAGTTGTCACCATTGTCACTGGGGCTATTTCAGGGCAGCTGGTGTGTTCCTGGCGCTCAGAGATGGAGCGTGAGCCTTTTTCACGTAGAAACAGTGCAGTTAGTATTTCATAATGCAGCTTCCATGTGTATAAACGAGGTTTGTATACAATAACTCTGTACAGTTGATCACCCCAGTTGCAGTCCAGTTCCAAAGCCCAGTTGAAATTTTTTTATTATGGAAAAATTTAAATATATAAAAAATAGAAGAGCATAATAAGCCTCCACATACCCATCACCTCCCTTCAGCAGTTATCAGCTCGTGGTTAGAGTTGTTTCGTCTTCCTGCCGCCACCTACTTTCTCCCCTCGCGACTTGCCACCCTGGGTGATTCTGACTTAACCCCCAGGTGTCACAACACTTCCTCTTAAATATTTCAGAATGAATCGTTAAAAGATAGGGGCTTAAAATACAACCGCATTACCACGATTTCATCTGGAGAAGGTGAGCAAAACTTGATTGACAACCCCAAATACCGAATCAGATCTCACAGTAGCCTGTTGTCTCGTGGGTATTCTTTTTACAGTTGGTTTCTTCCAAATGAGGATCTACACAAGGTGCCTACACTGCCTGTGGCCACTGTTTTTTTGTCTTTTTTATTCTGTACATTCTGTTTCCCTCTCATTTTCCTGGCAGCAAAAGTGTTGAGGAAACCAGGTTGCTCATCCGGTAACGTCCCACACATCCTAGATTTTGCTCATTGCATCCCGGGAGTAGTAGTTACCATCTTTCTCATTCCGCCATGTTCCCTGTAAACGGATAGCTAGATGTAGAAGCTCGGAGCTCACTTTAAATTATAAGCCCGTTGCGTGTGGGGACTGTGTGGGTGAGGTGAATGTGCTCTCACACACTGAAAGCACGTAGCGGGTCTCATTTGATGTGGTCAGATGGCATGAGCTACCGCCCTCTCCTTCCTGACCTCTCGCCTTTCCAGTTGGGAAAGTTAACCTAACAGACACACCTGGAAATGCCATCGCTCCTGACTGACGATGTGGTCAGATGGCATGAGCTACCGTCCTCTCCTTCCTGACCTCCCCGCCTTTCCAGTTGGGAAAGTTAACCTAATAGACACACCTGGAAATGCCATCGCTCCTGACTGAAAGGTTTTTTCTTGTAATTCTTTTTTACTTGTAATTTAAAACGGGAACTGTGAGGATACTAAAAGCCCAGGAAGAGGTAACGCCAGGACACCTTATTGGGCATTCCATTCTAGTCTTTGCCAGCATGCACGTCTGCATTTCACAGTTGTAATGGTGGTCAGCATGATACTTCGTAGTCGGCTTTTACCTTATAATGGGTTTCCATGTTGTTACATGGTCCTCACAGTTACATGACGCATGTAATGAGGGCCTATTATTCCATCGGGTAGATGTACCGTACTTAATTTCACTGTTCCCCTGTTACTGAGCATTTATTCTCTTTCTGCTTTTTCCCCGGTAGAGCTAATGCTGGAGTAGCCATCTCTATTCATGTCACTATTTACTTCATTTAAATTCTGAGGTCATAAATTCTTGGAAATGGAATTATTGAGTCAAAAGGATATGAATATATTTATGTCTATTATATATTTGCTTCCCAAAGGGGGAAATAGAGTTATTTAATTCAGGCTCTTCATTTTCTAGAAGAAACCCTCAATTAACCCTCAACCCCGCTGATCATCTGTAGTTCTCACTACCACAGGGCACTTACTTTGCATTATGGGTATTTAAGAGCTGGGGCGGAGGGAGCACCTTGAGTCTTACTATATTAGATAAAAAATTAAAAACTACTTAGTATTTTGTTTTTGTGTGTGAAAAGAAGAGTCTCCAATAGAGTCTATTCTCTGTAAATTTAATAAAAGAATTTATTCTTAAAAACAAAAAACTCAAATATGAGTGTAGATCTGCATTGTCCTCTGTGGTAGCCACTAGCCACACGTGACTATTGAGCACTTAAAATGTGGCCAGTCCAAGGGGAGGTTTGCTCAAGTGTCAAATGCATGTCAAATTTCAAAGGTTTAGTCCAAAAAAGAATGTATAATATCTCATTAATATATTTTATATTGACGGTAGATTGAAATGATATTTTGGATGTCAATATTGGATTAAATAAAATATATTATTAAACTTAATTTCACCTTAAACATTTTTTAATGTGGCTACCTGAAATTTCAAATTGCATACTAGTACATGGCTCACCTTTCATTTCTGCGTGGACAGTTTTGGGGTAGATAGCTTTGGGAAAGGGGGAGGCTGTAATTAGGGTTGTAGCTAAGGGCTGTCTTGGGAAAGAGAAGTGACCCGTTGGCTTAGGACAACATAGTAAGATTCGTAATCTCCCTGCCCCTGAAATGAGTGACCAGATGCGGGTGATTTTGCAGTTGTGATGAGCCGGGGCTGGTGTAAGGGGATTTCCTGCTGTGCACATTTCATGGTGGTGGTGAGTATCTACACCGTCCTCTCTGTCTCTCTCTCTCTCTCTCTCGTTCTGTTTAGGTTCTATGCTCGGGACTCTGGTCTGCTCAAGTTTGAGATCCAGGCAGGCTTACTGGGCCGCCCCATCAACCACACAGTGCGACGCCTTGTTGCCTTTACGTTCCACCCCTTTGAGCCCTTTGCGATTTCTGTGCAGAGGACTAATGCTGAGTATGTCGTCAACTTCCACATGCGGCACTGCTGCACGTAGGGGCCTCCCCACAGCCAGCCTCCCTGGTCTTCCAAGACGTTTCCCTTCCCGTCTCATGGACTAAAGCACACGCTCCAGACGGGCCCGTGGACCTCAGATGGGGAGGGCTGAGGGGGGAGTGCGGGCGGCTCAGCCTGACGGAAGTCTTTATTGTGTAAAAAAAACTACTGATTGTTTTAGAGCCCTCTTGCTTTTTCCCTGTGGGAATGTCCAGCACTAATTAGGTTCAGTTATTTCTGTTTTAATTTGCATTTTATTGCTATGAAGATGAGAGCATTACCCCCTTCGGGCCCCTTCCTTGGCATTATGTCTGCATTCTGTAGCAGGTAACTCATGTTTACTCGCGAGAACTGTGTACACCCTTTCTACTTCGCCAACAAGCAGGGCTGTCTTTATAAGAAAACAGAATAAAGCCTTGGTATTTTCTTACTGAAATATATCCTGCTTGATGACTGCCTTATGTTCTGATCTCACCAAATGCTTTTCAAATACACGGGTTCCAGGAAGGACTGTGAAAGGCGCCAGAGGCCGTGGATCCAGCAGCTGCTCTTGGGAGAAGGAAGTGTGTGTGCCAGCATGGAAGATAGTCATCTGCCAGGATTGCTTCCCTCCCTTGGGTTTTCTCCGGGGAACTGCTACAGCTGCAGGGGCTGGCGTAATTGCATGTTCTCGCGTGGAAGCATGCGCCCATCTGGGCCGTCTGTGCCGTGCAGGTGGGAGAGAGCAGCTCTGTGGCCACAGCAGAGACAAACGCTGTTTAGCACGTACTGCAGTTGGGGTAGTGGGAGCTGGCAAGCGCCAGTTGTCCCTCGAGGGATCAGACTGGCTCTTCCTGGACGGTTGAGCCATCACAGCTGCCCTGCAAACACCTGCCGGCCCCAGCCTGTCACATTCTCAGCTGTCTCCTCCAGAGGGCTTGTCAGGCTGTTAGGTTTCATCTTCATAACGTGCCCATTGTTCATGTAGCAAGCTTGCCGGGTGACATCTGAGTGTGATGGTAGCTTTGGAAGGAGCCATGGCTGCAGACAGCTGGCCCTGAACCCTTCAGCAGCCACAGCGACTTCCCTGGGGACCTAGGAATGGGAGAGGAAATGCCAAGCCCCATCAAAACATTTTGGCCGATTTCATCATTGTCATTTAGTTAGTACTCAACACAGGATCTGACCACCTGTGTTCACCTGCGAGGAGTCAGGTAGGTGCTGTGGCAAGATGTTGAGGAGAGAAATAGGCGGATGAAAGGAATTACCATGCAAAGCAGTGAAAGCCCCAGTACTGTCTGTAGGAGCAGTGGAGGGATGAGGACGAGGCGAGGAGGAAAGCTGTGCTGGGGCGGGGTGCCCCTGGGTGAACGGGAGTGCAGTGTGTGAGCCCGGGCGGAGGACATTGCATGGAGATCCAGCGTGTTCAAGGGCGGGGAAGCCTGCAGAGCGCTGACAAGATTGTGGGGTGGCAAGCGCTGGGAAGGGGCTGCAGCACGGGCTGGGGTGGGGGCCAGGGGAATGGGACTGAGCCTGAAGCGAGGCCTGTGCACGGGCTCAGGCCTTACGCAGTGGAGGGCAGGGGAGGAGTTTCACAGAGGCAGCTCGCCAGTCTAGGAAGACGGCTTAGAGGGAGGAGAGTCTAGAGCAGCGGTTCTCAACCTGTGGGTCGCGACCCCTTTGGGGGGTCAAACGACCCTTTCACAGGGGTCGCCTAAGACCATCGGAAAACACATCATTCCATATTGTTTTTGTGATGAATCACTATGCTTTAGTTATGTTCAATTTGTAACAATGAAAATACATCCTGCATATCAGATACTTACATGACGATTCGTAACAGTAGCAAAATGACAGTTATGAAGTAGCAACGAAAATAATTTTATGGTTGGGGGTCACCACACAACATGAGGAACTGTATTAAAGGGCCGCGGCATTAGGAAGGTTGAGAACCACTGGTCTAAACCAGTTATGATCGTCCTGTACTCTTTGCTAGTGACGAGAATTAGAGCCAGGACAAAGCCAGCCGGCACGAGGGGTTAGGTTAGCAATCACGTGACTTAATTCAGGTCAGTGCTACCACGCGGTAAAGGTTCCTGGGACTTTTGGGGCAACATTTCTCTGAGCACACAGCCCCCCATTTCCCCTATCCCGCACCCTACGATCATACTCGGGAAGCCTTAGGGTGAAGCGGACCCTCTCGATGGCGGAATGAAGGGAAGAACCCGGACCACCGATGGCGAGGGTGACAAGCTCCCGACCTGGGAGCCCGGCTGCCATCTGGACTTCCAGGTCTGTGAGCAGTACGTTTCCTGCCGTTGAAGGCGTTGTGAATCGGGCTTTCTGCTCCCGGCAGTGAGAGCAGATCAGTAGGTGCAGAGAGAAAGGCAGGGTCCCCAGGGGAGAATCTCAGTCCTGAGTCCCTGCTGCTCGGCACCAGCTCAGTTCCAGTTGTCAGGAGACCCGGTGCTTGATTCCTGTGCTGGCGTTTCTGTAAGATGCCTGCCTCTCCCACGGTCCCGGCACCCACACCGGAGCTGGCCTGGAGGTTTCTTGTAGCTAAAAGGACTTAACCTGAAATGGGAGATAAAGCGCTCGGCCTATGGAGTACTTGACCCACGTTAAGTTCTCAACTCCTACGTGTTTGCTTATGTTAACGTCGTTTCTAAAGGATTCAAGGCTGCTTTCAGTCAGTCTGGCATCTTCTCTCCACAAATGTCCAATGGATCTCAAGGATCTTTGGAGAAAAAGATCTTTGAAACAAAAATGTTTTTTGTGTTGTTTTTTTAAAAAATATGTTTATTGATTTCAGAGAGGAAGGGAGAAAGAGAGAGATAGAAACATCAACGATGAGAGAGAATCATGGATCGGCTGCCCCCTGCACGCCCCCCACTGGGGATTGAGCCCGCAACCCGGGCATGTGCCCTTGATTGGAATCGAACCCGGGACCCTTCAGTCCGTAGGCCAGTGCTCTATCCGCTGAACCACACCAGTTAGGGTGGAACCAAAATGTTTAAGAAAAGCAGTAAGCCGAAACCGGTTTGGCTCGGTGGATAGAGCGTCGGCCTGCGGACTAAAAGGTCCCGGGTTCGATTCCGGTCAAGGGCATGTACCTGGGTTGCGGGCACTTCCCCAGTGGGAGATGTGCAGGAGGCGGCTGATCGATGTTTCTCTCTCATCGAAGTTTCTAACTCTCTGTCTCTCTCCCTTCCTCTCTGTAAAAAATCAATAAAATATATTTTTAAAAAAAGAAAAGCAGTAAGTTTGGGGGCCTATATCTTCCAGATGCAAATTCTTCCCTGAACCTCTCTCCGCTCATCCCTACTCTTCCGGGAGCGGACTTGTCAGTGATCCGTGCAAAGCTACTCGGGACCTTTGAGAAGAGAAAGGTTCCCTTTAAATTGAGCAGAAGCCCTTCCATTCAGAGTCCTCACAAACAAGCACGGCATAAATCAGTGAAAACCCTAAATTAGATAATTTTTAAAAGAACGGCGGCTTCATTATTTTCAAGTACACAGAGTCACTCCATCTCAGCCACGAGTGTGCCTTTGTAGAAGCCCTTTGGGACGTTCCTTAATGAGTAGATGATAATTATTGCTAATCAGCATAGCGGCGCTCTGCAACGCGTGCTCTGACAGCAGCGGAGCACATTAAGCGATTTGGATGTTCCAGGGGGCAATTTTGTTTACAACATTAATCTGCTCGGTGGTTACCCTTTATAGCTATAACTCTCTGTTGTTTTTAAAAAAACAAAAAACTCTGCCCTGACCGGTTTGGCTCAGCGGATAGAGCATCGGCCTGCGGACTGAAGGGGCCCGGGGTCGATTCCGGTCAAGGGCATGTACCTGGGTTGCGGGCACATCCCCAGTAGGAGATGTGCAGGAGGCAGCTGATCGATGTTTCTCTCTCATCAATGTTTCTAACTCTCTATCCCTCTCCCGTCCTCTCGGTAAAAAAATCAATGAAATATATTTAAAAAAACAAAACTACCCCCCACAAAACTCTGAAGCCTCCATCACGGAGCATTCGATTCTGAGGCAGACACGATGCAGGCGGCAGAGCAGGCCGCGGGTTCCTCGCCCAGCGTGTCCTGGTGGAATTAGGGGAACGCCTCCGGCCTGCAGTGAGCCTGGTGCACCCCCCGGGCTCCCTCACCTGCCAGCCGTGTCCTAAGGACTTCACTGAGACTCAGTGTCTCCCCGTAAAACAGGGACAGCTTCTACTTTGCAGGGTTGACGTGGGCATTGAGTGAGTATGAATGGAAGCTCTTTATACAGCGAGGGCTCCAGACGGTGAGGAAGGCGAGCTGCCTTCTCCTTCTCTCTAGATCTCTTGGCCTCTTTAGTGTCACAGAGGGTGTGCGCGCGACCCTCGACCCTCCTAGCAGCTCTCCATCCCCTGGGAGCCCAGCACCATAAGCGCGGCGCCTCTCCAGGCGCAGCCCCTGCTCACCCACCCGAGACCGGCGGCCTCGGAGGTGGTGCCGTCCTGCCACCCGCACACCCCGGCTGTGGGAAAACCCGAGCAGCCCGGACCCCCTTTGTAGCCAGACGCATTGGCCGGCGGGAGCTTGCTCTGCGGAGAGCTTGTCGTCGCCGATTGTGAACGTGTATTCAGAGCTCACGGTGGCCCCGAAGCTGTGCCGTGCACCTCACAGGGGAAGGGGCGTCAGGGCATCGATTCTGAGATGCATTTTTATTTTGTTTATTTATTTACTTAATTGATTTCAGCGAGGGAGGGAGAGAGAGAGAGAAACATCAATGATGAGCGTGCAGCCGTGTTCAGTATATTCTCGTTGTTATGCAAGCAATCTCTGCAACGTTTTCATCCTGCACAACCGAAACTGTACCCAGGAAACAGCAGTTCCCCAGCCCCTGGGAACCACCGTTCTGCCTTCCGTTTCCGTGCATTTGACTACGTTGGGTACCTCACACGAGTGGAGTCACACAGCGTTTCCCTTCTTTTGTCTAGTTTATTCCACTGAGCATAAGGCCCTCAGGGGTCCTCCGTGCTGGAGCATGTGTCAGAATTCCCTTCCTTTTTAGGCAGAATCACATTTCATTGCGTGTAGGACCGCATTTTGTTTACCCTTCCGTTCATCAAAGGACATCTGAGTTGCTTCCACTCCTTGACCATCGTGACGAGTGTGTCTATAAACACGAGTGTGCAAATATTTCTTAGAGATCCTCTCAGTGCTTTTGGAAATGTACCCGGAAGTGGGCCTTACTGAGCTTTAAGAAGTGGCTACCCAGTGCACTCACCCGCAGCCGTAGAGGGGGTACCGGCAGACACTGCGGGCCCGTTGAGTTGACTAGTCTGAGGCCACGGTTTTGACTTCAGCAGCCTCCCGGGGGCTTAGCAATTGCAGCCCGGCCCCCTGAGTCTTGCCTGGCGCAGGCAGGAGGGGCCGGAGCAGGCGTGTGAACCCGCTGCGCCCTGCCTGCTCCTGCCTGCATTAATTCGGCGCATTTCTCTCGCTCCCCGAAGGAAGAGGCGCTTCGGCAACATTTAATTAGCAGCCAGGAACATGCTTTCCCAGGGACACGATTTATTTCTCAGCCAGCTGTTGCCAGTTGCTTCCCAGCGACATGCAGCGCTCACATCTGATTGCTTCTCCCGGCGAGGGGGGTGCCTGGCCCACCTGCTGTCACAGCTGGGGGGGTGGGGGGTGGGGGGTGTGTGGAACCCCAGGTCGAGGGCTGATTTTCCAGAGGAAGTGAGTGATCTGAACCGGTTACTCCTGCAAAGCCAGACACGGTGCTGAAGCCTCTAGAGCAGCGGTTCTCAACCTGTGGGTCGCGACCCCTTTGGGGGTCAAACGGTCCTTTCACAGGGGTCGCCTCAGACCATCGGAAAACACATATCATTACATACTGTTTTTGTGATTAACCACGATGCTTTCATTATGTTCAATTTGTCACAATGAAAATACATCCTGCACATCAGATATGTACATGACGATTCATAACAGTAGCAACATGACAGTGATGAAGTAGCAACGAAAATCATGTTATGGTTGGGGGTCACCACAGCATGAGAAACTGTATGAAAGGGTCACGGCATGAGGAAGGTTGAGAACCACTGCTCTAGAGCCTTGAACGCCCTTGCCCACCCCTCTCCTTGAAGTTCATGATTAGAGCCGGCAGAAGGAATGCCACCAGCTGCAGCACAGACCGCAGCCTGGCCCGGGAAAGTGCGCTGGGGTGGGGTGCAGCTAGGGAAGAGCCTCGCCCCGCAGGAGGCAGAGCCTGCCCCTCAGAACGAGGGTGTGGGGGGCCTTGGGCCGCTCTGGGCCAGGGGAAAGGAAAGCCTCATTTCAAGAGGCCCGCCAGCTGCTCTGGGCTTCCAGGGGCTTCAGAAAGGGAGAGGGAAGGGCAGTGTGAGCAGTGGCCCTGCCCTGGCCCTGCCAGGCCTCAGGGCATCTGAGCGAGGGCTGCTCAGGGACCAGACTTCAGACCCCCCTCTTCCCAGAAGCTT